CTGATTTCTGCGGGAGATCTGGGTCCCCCCTGTCAGCTTCAACCTAATCTGACCCTTTACAGACCACTTCCATTGAAACAAGCATTTCCAGGGAAATGATGGACCATCTTGAGCTTGCTCTTCTGGGTTACATGGTAAATATGTGTAAACAACTGGCCATGGGTCAAAAGCCCATACCCCCAGTGAACATCCCAATCCCCACTAAAAATAGACTAAAATGGGTGGCGCACCTACCCCAAAATGGTACCATTGGTTTTGACCCACAGCGAACTGGCAAATGTTAATCCCATTCTTCAGGGCTTGGGTGCCGCCCTTAAGCATCACGTCGACAAGAAACTCTGCCCTGAGAGGTTCTGTCCCAAGCCAAAAGGAACCGCAAGGAAGCCGGTTTCTTGCTCCGAACACGCTCAAACATCCCTTCGCGGAGCTGACCAATCCTCTGCACACATGACTCTCATGAACACGCACCGTGAGTGATGAAATTACTTCACCACTGCACCATTGAATACACTTTTGCCATTGCAGTCCGTTTCAAATCAACACCTGAACATGCAGCCCGAACATGCAGGCGTTTCCCGCTTACCTTGCGCAGAAATGCTTCCTCATGGGGCCACATGTGTTGTTCAACCTTGGCTTCTTTCCTTTCTGAGAAGGGCGTCAGGGCACCCAACCAATATGTGGTGTCTGTGTTTTGGGGGGGGGGGGTTTGAGGGTATCCCGTGTGCGGTGGTTTGAACGGGAACCAATACCAACACCATGTTGAGGGGGATCCCCCAATGCAACAATTGACACCCACATGGGGGTTGATCAATACTCCTGGCCCCCAATTGACCATTGGTAACTTTCCGCGTTTAGTGGGAGAAGTCATTCATCTTTTTTGATGGCTTCCCTGGATGGTCATCCCATGTTTCAGGGACCTTTTGATCAACCCTCATACGGTTTACCTTGTTTTGTGGTTTTCACAAGAAAGCCCAAAACACGATTTTGGGGGATGTCCCAATAAACCCAAGACACCCAAAGGCCTTTTCCTTCGGGGAGCAGGAAAGAAAGGCTTGGTTGACGTTGGAAGGGGAGCAACTTATTTAAGATTTTAGGAGTTAAGTGGTTGGATTTTAACCACTTCTATCCACAACCAGCAAAAAGAATCGCACAATGTGTCCCAAGAACAACCATGCATATGGCTATGGGTCAATACCCCGTAATTACCCCAAGTGAACATCAACCAATCCAACCACTAAACTAGGTTCATTTTTTTGGGTGGTGCGCCTATCAACCCAACATGGGATCCCAAAACGGTTTTGAACCATGGCCATATAGGAACTCAATGAACAAACAACAGGGCTCCCTCTATTTTCCCTTAAAACATCACCCCCACCAAAACCTACTCACCTTCCATGGACCAAAGAGGTGATGTTTAAAACCGCCAAAAAGGGGGAAATATTCAACCAACCAACCCCCCCCCCCGCCAAAAAGGTGATGTTTAAAACCCCTGAACAACAACCAGCCACCCGAGACCACTTCCGCGAGCGAGGCTTCGAGGCTCCGAGGCCCCGGCCCGATGCGCAGCTTGCGGCGGCTGGTGGCGGAGGGCGAGGGCGGCCTCGCGCCGTCCGGGGCCTGGCGGACAACGGGCTCAGCGCGGGGGGGACGGGGGGGGGGGGGAGTGAGGCCACTGGGGGGTGGCGCAAAAAACCGGAACCAAAATGGAGCCTTGGTAAGTGGAAACATGGACCAAAGCCCGCGTAACCCCTCCTATTTAATTTTGAGCCACAGCCACTTAGGAATTTATATTATCTGCAATAATTGTTAACTGATATGGGAGAAATGGAATTTTATTTAGAATAATACTTTGTGAATTATCTCAATTTGCCACCTGAATGCATTGACTGGGAAGTTGCATGGGCTGCAGCGCTTCAGAGTAAGTGTACAGCAGGCACCCTCCCCCAGACGATTCCACGGAAGCTCCCAGGACCCTGAACATGGACGACTCGGTTCCAAGAGCAGAGGACACTTGGGGGAGTTTATGGCTGTCAAAAAAGAAGGTGCGACTCTGAGCAACATTTGGAGGACCTGAAAAGAATTATCCAGATGAGAATCTGAGATACTGGCAAACTAGCGGGCGCGCCCAGTTTCCTGGGAGTCAAACACTGGCCCTTCCAAAGAGAGAAGACAAGTAGGGGGCGACTGAGCAACCGGGCCGCGGATAGAGGCATGATGCTTAGATGGTGACTGGTGCTTAGATGGTGACTGGATACTGAATTAGTAAAAGACGTACCCTTTCTATATCCACCAGCATTATCACCATCATCACCGGCACTACTACAACTACCGCCACCACTACCACCACTACTACCACTACTGCCACCACTACCACAGCTACCACCATTGCTACCAAAACCACCACTACCACCACTGCCGCCACTATCATCACTATCACCACTACCACCACTACCACCACTACCACCACTACCACCACTACCACCACTACACCCATTCCCACCACACCAGCGTCAAGTGATCACATCTTCATGTTTTTGTCCAGTTGGTTTGTGCAGTGCTGCATCCAACATGTTGCCCAATTGCAACCCAAAGAGCACACTTGTACAAACCATTGGGAACGCTAGATTCTCCAATCGGGGATGTACAACATCAAGCCCATATGCAGAAGATAGGCCTTTCCCAGCCAAATCATCGCTCACCGCAGTCGGCTTGAAACATAGCTCTCACTTCCCGAGAAAACCACCCAACAAAGACTGGACTTTGGCCAAATCCAGAGGGGATCAAACTCGCCGTTCGGAGGGGGTTCCCACTCCTCTCCCTACTGACATCTTCAATCAGAACAAAATAATCTTCACAAAAAAAGACAAACAACTTTCGCTTGTGTGGCTTCTCGAAAATGGTGAGCATCTGAAAAAGCAAAAATCTGACTAAAAGCAGCGTCCTTCCGCCGCCGCTGCCACCCGCACACCCGCCTCCCCGTAATGCTTCATGCCCGGCCGCAGTGCTGGGGGCCGTGTCCGCGGGGCGGGATAGAAGTAGAGATCCTGCGGAGAGGGACGGCCCCGGTGCTCCTTACCGCAAGAGCAAGCATTCGAGAGGAAAACTTATACTTCTTGGTTGACTTTGGAAGGGGAGAACAAATCTATCTTTTAGCAGTTAAGTTTGGATTTCCCACTAAACCACAATAAGCAAAAATGCAACATGTTTCCCAACAACAACAATGACTTAGGAGTGGTGCCCGCCTTGGACAGTGGCCGGTGCGCTTGCTGTAAAACCCGGGCAGGAAACAACGATACCCCAAATGAAATGGATCTCCAAACTGATCCCAAACGCGACCGGGCATTGGAAGCAGGGCAAGCCCAAATCCCAGTCAAACGTCAAATGCTCGAGAGCCTCGTAAAAGTCCCTTATATGACATTTGTCTATTTTCCTTCCTTCCCTCCTTCCTTCCTTCCTTCCTTCCTTCCGGGTTTTCTGTCTTTCTTTCTTTCTTTCCTTCCGTCCTTCCTTGCTTTTCTTTCTTGCTTTATTTCTTTCTTTCTTTCTTTCTTTCTTTCTTTCTTTCTTTCATTCATTCTTTCATTTGTTGTCCTTGTCATTTCTTTTGTGTTCATGTATCTTATTTTCTGTTCTGGTAGGTTCTCTCTTTCCTTCCTAATTTATTTCTTGCTTTCTTGCTTTCTTGCTTCCTTTCTTTATTTATTTGTTTCTTGCCTTCTTGCGTTCTTGCTTTCTTGTTTTTGTGCTTTATTGCTTTATTGCTTTCTGTATTTCTTTGTATATGTCTTTCTGTCTTTCTTTCTTTCTGTCTTTCTTTCTTTCTTGCTTTCTTTCTTTCATTCTGTCTTTCTTTCTTTCATTCTTTCTTTCTGTATTTCTGTCTTTCTGTCTTTCTGTCTTTCTGTCTTTCTGTCTTTCTGTCTTCCTGTCTTTCTGTCTTTCTGTCGTTCTGTCTTTCTGTCTTTCTGTCTTTCTATCTTTCTGTCTTTCTGGTGTTCTGGCTTTCTGGCTTTCTGTCTTTCTGTCTTCCTGTCTTTCGCTCTTTCGCTCTTTCGCTCTTTCGCTCTTTCGCTCTTTCTTTCTGTCTTCATGTCTTTCAATCTTTCTTTCTTTCTTTCTTTCTTTCTTTCTTTCTTTCTTTCTTTCTTTCTTGTTTTTGTGCTTTATTGCTTTATTGCTTTCTGTATTTCTTTGTATATGTCTTTCTGTCTTTCTTTCTTTCTGTCTTTCTTTCTTTCTTGCTTTCTTTCTTTCATTCTGTCTTTCTTTCTTTCATTCTTTCTTTCTGTATTTCTGTCTTTCTGTCTTTCTGTCTTTCTGTCTTTCTGTCTTTCTGTCTTTCTGGCTTTCTGGCTTTCTGTCTTTCTGTCTTTCTGTCTTTCTATCTTTCTGGCTTTCTGGCTTTCTGTCTTTCTGTCTTCATGTCTTTCTTTCTTTCCTTATTCCTTTCCTTATTCCTTCCTTTCTTTCTTTCTGTCTTTCTGTCTTCATTTCTTTCAATCTTTCTTTCTTTCTTTCTTTCTTTTCTTTCTTTCTTTCTTTCTTTTCTTTCTTTCTTTCTTTATTTCTTTCTTTCTTTCTTTGTTTCTTTCTTTCTTTCTTTCTCCCTCTCTTTCTCTCCCTCTCTTTCTCTCTCTCTCTCTCACTCTCTCTCTCTCTCTCTCTTTCTCTTTCTTTCTCTCTCTCTCTCTCTCTCGCTCTCTCGCTCTCTCTCGCTCTCTCTCTCTCTCTTTCTTTTTTACACTCTCTCTCTCTCTGTTTCTCTCTCTCTCTCTCTCACTCTGCTTCTCACTCTCTCTCTCTCTCTATATCTCTCTCTCTCTCTCTCCCGTTTCTTACCACGTGAGTCCGGCAAAACCAGCTGGATGCCCGCTTGGTTCATGTTCAGACGAAAACCAATATGAAGTCAACTGTCGGATCCACCAAAGACGAGCCACACAGCGGGCTCCCTTGTTCTCTGACACTCCGCACGTTTTGTTGGCCCTTCCGAAAGATGATGCTTCAAGTAGGCAACCCGAGAACACATGCGGGACCACTGGACCGCTTGAGCCCCCCTATTTCCAACCTCACCCCCCCTCCCCGGAAAAGAAAGGGGGGGGGGGGGGTTCCCTTGGTGTCCCTCTAGTGTGTGTGTGTGTGTGTGTGCGTGTGTGTGTTTGTGTTGTAAGCGTGGGTAGCATTACTTTCAAGAAATAAAAGGGAAATCACGTATTCTGCCTTTTGGAACGCTGGCAAAGACAAAACAACGGAACACCCGTCCACACCGGTTGTCAAGCACAGGTGGTGCCGCCGTTGAAAAAACAGCCCTGCCACCTCCGCGATCCGAAAAACGTCCTCAACTGGCAAGCTGGATGGCACCCTGCTCAGTAGGGAATGGCCTGTGTTTTTGCTCAACCATCCTTAAAGGAGCAAAACAAAAACCAACCCAAGCGAGGGCAGGGTTGAATAACTTCCTCCCAATCATGGAAGTCGACATTGGTTGGCAAAAATAACGCATACTCATCCACCTCCATGAAGGTTGGAAAAGGGGTAGTCCTTCAAGAGGGATGCCTTTACATATCCTCTGTATATGTATACATATAATATGCATACAGCACACACACACATACGTGATTGACTTGTCTGAAACCAAACCCACACGATACATATGGCCATTCGCTATGATTCTACAATCATGGTTGATAATGATGCAAGTAACAATACCACACATGTGCTTTCCTCTTAGTTTCTCTTTTAAAAAAAAGAGACTCCGCTTTCCGCTTCGTAAAAACCTGGGGTATCTGCAAGAAAGATCCCATCGCCTCCTTGGCCTCCTCGAGCTCCCCGGAGCCTGGAATTCATTTGGTGCAGATTGTTTCGGGGGGAGCCATCCGGTTGCCATGGGACGTGCGCAGGCTACACACACACCGGCCCCCCGCAAAAAATAAGGGAGGTCGACACCTTCGCAAAACTTGGTTGACGTTGGAAGGGGAGCAACAATTTTCAGATGTTAGCAGTTAAGTGGGGATTTCCCGCTAAACCACAATACGCAAAAATGTAAAATGTGTCCCAACAACAACCATGAAAAGACCGCCGGAAAAATGGAGGTCGCCACCTGCTGGCGGACTCTTTGGAGGGGTGGTAAGAGTTCCGGAGGATCCGGTTTAAAGGGAAACCACCGCTTGGATGGTTCAGTTTGACTGAGAACATCTGGAAAGGGAACAGTCTTCCAACTCCCTTCTGCTTCATGTTCGCCGGGAGAGTCGGAGGTCTGGGAAATCAAAGAATTGCCCATCTCTTGGTTTCTTGGCAACATTCAACAAACATGGGCTATTCCGCAGAGACACAAGGGTGACAAACACCAAATCCGTCGTCCAAGTTCAACGCTTTCTTTGCCCCTACTTGAGTATTGCCCGAAACGGAAATGTTGGTTCCAAGTATAGCCCAAAATGCGGCCTTTACGGGGATGCAGTTGTTCACCAGCCGCAAAAATGCCAGCGCTCGGGAAATGCGCAACCAACCCTTTGAGAAAGAAACAAGATTCCGTGAAAAGGAAGTCTGGATACCCTCCTCAATCCGAGCTTCTTGAGGCCTGATAGCTTTTACTTGTCTGCCTCCAGTGACTTGGGAGAGCTGTGTGACACAAAACGAGGTTTGGCCATCCAGTGTGCTTTTCCATTCGGACACAGCAACCTTGGACAGGCAGGGCTTTTGCTCGACTCGTGGGTGAGGTTCTGATAGCCACAAAATGCAGATGTACTGTACCCGCCCACCAACTAATATGGAACCTGACACGGGCTTCCCGGAAGACCATTTTCCTTCTAGAGGGACACCCAGGTTCCATGTTAATCGGTGGGAGGGTAACCCCGCATAGTTCAAGGTGACGTGCTGCCCAAACAACTACGCGGTATGACAACAATTCTTGGGCGCCGTAAATCCCAGCAAAAAGCTTAACTTTTGCTGGTTGAGAGGAAATATGAAGGGAATCCAAAAAGTCAAAGTCTGAAGATCCAACCCAATAGCGGTAGAGGATTTTCCATGAACGTGTTTCCACGAACTGCCAGACGCCTCCGATTCGCCCGGCCTTCGGACCAGTTCTTCATGCGCTCCGCCACGTCCACCACCCGGCTGAGCTCCTGGCGCGGAGACCCGACTTGCAGGGGAACCCAAGGGGTTCAACGACCGGCACGGGGATGTTTTGTGTCTTTAAAGGAACCCCCATCCAAATGCAATACAGAAGCCACTGGACAACTTAGGGGAGAAAACATGAGACGACCTATTGATTCAAAGTGGAAAGCGAACCCCAGAGGAAAAATGGAAATGGAAACAACAAGCAGACATGCTTCAGGGACCCTCTGCACATTATTTACGGGTTGGCCTTTGGGGCCACAGGGGACTATGTTTGGAGTTGGTGCCCCTTGGACGGTTTTTTGGGAATCTCAGGCTTAGTCAGAGTCGCCCGATCCGATCTGGATTTTAGGCATCACCAGCAACCCCTCACAGGGCCCTGGCTTGCTGCAGCGACCCCTCTGCAAAAGGTGAATCACTTTTTGCGGGTCCAATGGGGTCCGCGGCTTCCCAAAAAGTTAAAGTCTAAAGATCCAACCCAAGAGCAATCAAGGCAGAAGAGCCCGGACCCCTTTGCTTGGTTGACGTTGGAAGGGGAGCAAAAAAAAACGAATCTTAGCAGCTAAGTGGGGATTTCAACCACCAAACCACAACACGCAGACATGTCATCATGTTTCCCAACAACAACCGTTGGGAAGAGCGTAACAACCACTGCCTTTTTCGGAACACCCACCACCAGGCTCACTGAATGTAAAACATGTGTCCCAACAACCAAGCTCATGTCTGGAAAAGAAAACGACGGTGCCCATCTCCCAATAAACCGAAAGCACGTCGAAGGTCCCCGCCTCGAAGCTGCGCTCCAAGACATCGGCCTTGCTGAGGATGATCTTCTCGGGGCAAAACCTGGGGTGTTTTTTGCCCCGGGCCCTGGGGGTTTAGAGGGCTGCCTAGGTTTCCCCCTTCACCCTCACAAGAAGGCTTCACTAGGCCCTCCAGATTTGAGAGCTTAGAATAAGTTGGTACCAACCTTTTTTCTGTAGTCCATTTTAGTAGGGGAAGCCTCCCCAAAAAAAGTTGGTAAAAGGGCACTAGTGGGGGACCTAGTAAAAAACCAAAAAACAAACATTGGAAAGAAAGCCAACCCTGGTCAGGGTTCTCAGGTGAAGTGGGAGTTTGGTCAGGGTTCCTATGAAGAAACACCCCAAAGGAAGCTCAACTTTAATTGTTCGCTTTTCCAGGGCTTGGTGCTGTACCAGGGGGGTGCCATGCGAACTGCGAGGGATGGCTGGGCACTGTTGGCCCTCGCCGGGTTGCCCAGAAGAAAGCCAAGGTCTTGGGTCAGGGACCGATCCCTACATGTCCAACCTGCACCAAAAGGTGAGAGATGAAATCCAACTAACTTGGGACATAGGGCGGTCTTGGCGCGCCAATTATATGATCGGTTCACCGGAGCTGACGCCTTGCGTGGGACAGGCGGAGCATGCCGTGCCTCTTAAGAAAAGGCAAAACCGTCATGAACCCAGCGACTCACCAAACTTCGGACACATCCCCATGGGAAAGACAGTTATTGGCTTGGTTCGGCCCAACGTGAGAGTCCAACTGGTATTCGGTGTCCCTCCTTGTTCTGCCCCCACTAACTTGTAAAATCATTGCCCCTGATTTGCCCACGGATTCCCCCCCCCCCATTTTTGTTCAGAAACTGGGAATTTCCCGATAGCATGGCAGGAATCAACCTCCGAATAAGGCCCTGGCAAAAATCCAAATAAGAGCCTTATTTGGGGAAACCAATGGTTAGCGCGAACTCAGGATCCTGGGATGGACAAGATCCACTAGTTCCGCAAGAACTCTGTTAACACTGGTTGATAAACCACCTTTTCACCAACTGCAGGATGAGACTCTACAAAACCTGGAGGATAAACCACCTTTTTTCACCAAGTGGTGCAAAATGGATTTTGTCCATCCACATGAGAGAACCAAACTTCAACTTGAAATCCGAGTGGCTGCCCACAGCGATTGTGCTGAAAGCCCCGGTTGCGGTTCCGCAGCAGGGAGATCTGGTCGCGTCCGTTTGCTGGCGTTGTCAGTCACCAAAAGCAATAAAAATACGGAAGCATGAGTTTGTGTTCAAAATTGGGGACCCCAAAAAATGGTTGTTTTCCTTTAGGTGCCTGGAAACCAGCCTGAAAAACGCGCAATATGCCATGGGAGTTTCTCAAGAGGCAGCTGGTCCTGTGTAGGAAGTAGGCTGAAAATGAAAAGCAAAACGAGAGGACCCAGACCGAGCTTCTACCCTGGTTCGAAGCAACCCACTATAAACAGGGTTCTCCCATGTCGGAGGAAAACTACTTTTGGGATCTTTTGGGAGCTCATATGGTTTGGCATCAGGCTGTATATGCATTTTGGTCCAAACAAGGCAGCCCCCAGACAATGGTGAACCCATTGGTTCCCTTTGAAGCGGCCTGAAAAGGGGGTACCAACTCCAAAACACTCGGAGCAACCACTTGCACCGCGTTTTTCTCAGAGCTGTCGGCGCCTCCACCGGCACATCGACCCACAAAAGTTCGGTGACGTAGCCTGGCATCCAGCGACATCCGGTTGCTGAGCGTCTGACTTGTGGAGCTCAGGTGCTCGGAAGGTGGCAGAGTTGATCAACATGCCCAGGGTCCCCAGTTTTGGCCGTGGATGACTTTGCCCAGGGAAGTGTCGAAAAAGTTGTTGCGGCTTAGCGCAATGGTCATCCTACGTTAAACGACCTTTTGATCGACCTCTATGTCTCAAACGACCCCAAAAACATGGGTTCCGCTTTGGCTTCGCTGGTATCAAACAAGGACTCTGCCAAAAAAATTGACGCTCCGATCTTGGCCCCAAGCTTGCTGCTTGAAAGGGCCCCAGGAGTGACAAACCCTGTGTAGCCCTTTCTAGAGCTGAAAAAAACCCTCCGCAATTGGAGCACTAGACTGTACGATGCCTTTTGGCAGAATGGTGGGCCTAAAGTTGCAACCTGTTTAGAGGCCCTAGACCTTCCTGCACCTCTCAGCTCCATGGGCCAATTATGCCTTTTCCCTCGTTCTCCCAGGGATCTGAGGCGTGAAATAAACAAGGTAGAGGTTTGAAAGGAAACTGCCATCGCAAATGCGGCTACTTCTTTTTCTGGCACCTACAGCTTGTTGGTGTTTCCCTCAAAGTGTCCACTCTTTCTGCGTGAATCGAGATCTCTTTCGAGGTTGTGTGTTTGCAACAGCAATGTCCCTGGATGGAACGGCTGTTCGGTTCAACTTTTAGAATTTATTGCAGCTCCGTGCTTATGTCAGCAGTTATGGCAGTCCCGCTATAAAGACTCCATGTTGGACACCTTACTGAGGCGGATTCCAAACGTTGGACCGTTCTGCCATTGGTTGCCATGTTTCCTTCGGAGGCACCAGATGTCAGCCTCAGCTTGCAAAGAGATAAATATCTTTGGGGGTCTCAACGGATGATCCTCAAGGACTGGCGCCGCGCATGCTTTTCCGGCCCCTGATTCTCACTTTGACTCCCCAGCGAGACGCATGCACAATGGGGCCTGGACCTTTTGGGATCACACCTTCTTATAAAAATAGGGGGGAATCTATCTTCAGCCCCATCTCTGGTCCACATCTGAGCCAAAAAACATCTCCGGCCGATCCGATGGTCCAGCCCCCTCCCGCCTTTCCGCCGGGCCAAGTCGATGCGGTGCCGGAGCCAGGAGGCATTGGAGCCGCTTGAGTCGAAGACGATGTTCTGGCGCCTGCCGCGGTAAAAGCAGCCTGGTCCAAGATGGGCAGGTCGTCACCTCTTTTTCTAGGGGGGGAAAAGGAACATGTGCTCTTCCAGGAACCTCCAGTGAGATTCCATACTAGTGGGTGGGTACCCTTTTGGGCTTGTTGAACCAAAACAAAACCGCCCATTTTGTTGGGGGCTCCCTTGGAGATGATTGGAGACAAACCCTTCGCGGAAAAACTGGAGAGAGAGAGAGAGAGAGAGAGATTTGCGGCCGCTGATTGAAACCCAGTGCGGCCTTTAAAAATATCCCAATCGAAGGGCCATCAACAAACATCGCGGATGTTCGCGTCATGGGAAAGGAGCTACCAATCAAACTGCTTGCCGCATAGGTCTTTGGCTTCTCTGGAAACCCCGGCCGCTGGGCTGCGTTCAACGGCTCAAAGCGGCTCGCGAGCCTCGGCCCCTGGAATTCGGCCCCAAATTCTCTGACGAGAAGAAAAAGCACGCCAGCGCCGGCTGCCGCAAGTTGGAGCCTTCGCTTTTGAACCCACCGTTGGTTTGGGGAACTTTGCCGCGTCCAGGGCGAGAGCCCGCCCTATCACCTGCCTTTTGGGAGAGCTAACATCGACCTGCATAGCATTCCCCCGGCTTTGACACACTAACAACTTGCCCAAAGACTGCCTCTGCCAATCTGAGAAAAAGAAGAAACTGGAGGTGAGGCATCTGATACGTCGCCCCTGTTAGTTAAAGGAACTTCAAAATCAGCCAGACATCAAGTGCAGTCAAAGAATGATCGGCACGTGAGTCACAATCAAAACCCGGTAGTGAAGTGGTCTAACCAAATCCATGTAAGCACTAAAACGGCGGCTGCACCCATTTATCGTTGGGAGTATCCGCGTGTTGATTGGTGGCTCACGTGCTCCCGCTCGGATCTTCCTCCATCAGACGAAGCCAAAGCCGAAACTTGGGCACCTTGGATCAGGATGAAGGCCACCGCCGGTTGGACCAGTTCCCATGTTGGCCATCACAGCGGCAGCCCTTTTGCCCAGGACTCCAGGACCGGGAAATCGAAGCCTTACCTTCTGGGGCCAAAAATAAACCGAGACCGGAAAACCAACAGGTCACAAGGAGACGATGTCTGAATCCTGGGATTCAAGCGAGGTTTAATGGACCCACCCCCCTGAAGTGTGCGGGGAACCCAACCTGGTGCCGCCAGTTCTTCAAATCTCCGGAAGAACAACACACAAATTAGGGGACCCCCAAAATACAAAGAGGTCATCATTGAAAGGAGATAAAATGAGGATGGTTTCCCTTAAAAACCATGTGACGTGTTGCGCTCAAACACATGCTTAGACACTCCAAGGGTATATGGCCTGTCAAAAAAAAAAAAAACAATGCGCAGCCCAGCCTGCCGCTGCGCACGGCATCCTCGAACTCATCCACCGCTCGCCTGGCGCTTCCAAAACTTTCATGTCCTAAACTTTCCTCTTGGTCAGGGATCCTTACATTATACACCCAAACATTACCTTGTCAATAATAGTGTTTTTCTCAAGAAAAAATAAATAAAAATAAACAAAATATATCTTTTAAAAGCCCTCTTGGTTTCCCTTTGATTAAATCAAGAGCCAGACAACCAGAGCGGGGTTGTAAACCCCCTTTCTGGGTGTGGGTCAAAATTAGACCAGGGGACCACAGGTTTTAGTCATTGTTTCCATTTAACAGGGTGCCATTTGGGGTACCTATTTTTGACCCACAGCCATATCTCTGCTGTTGAACATCACCCCACTGGATGCCAGCTGGAGCTCACTTTGCGGCGTGTCTAAAGCTTGCTGGTTCACTCGGGAATGACCCAGTCCGGGTCGAACCGGAAGGGGATTCCCTTTAAGGAAACCACCAGTTGGATGGGTTATGGAAGCGCATTCCATTTCTCACCCGCCTACCGGACAAGTTCATTTGGGGAGACGCAGGTGGACTTGGTCCTTGCGGGGGAATGTGGGCAGCCCCCTTCCCCAAGAGGATGGTCCCGAACAATTCTGTGGGTCTCCTGACCCGTTTTGTTTTTTCGGGTTGTCCCCCATGTCCCAAGCCAACAGTAAACTACAAAAAGTATTGTCAAATACTCATCTGGCCTTTTCGGGAGCCCGAGTTGCCAAAACGAGCCAATTGGGCGGGGGGGGAGGGTGTTGCACAGGCTGCTCCAGATCTGTTGAGAGAAACCAAGTGTTGTGGGCGTTTGGGCAAAAAAGAGTGGGCAAGCACAGGCTACCAACTACTGCCTGCCTCCAAATTCCCGAGAAAAAAGCTTGAGCTTTTGACTACGTGCCAATCTCAAGTAGCACTTCCGCAGGTATGCTGAAAGGGAAGCCATTTCCACTTTCTGACTCGGACCCAAGGCAACATGGGCCACAAAAACCGACACCCGGCCGCACGGCCTCACGCTCCAGCGATGGACCTCTTCGTCCGTCTCCTGAGCGGATGACTGGTGAAAATGGTGGCCACCCGCCTGAGCCCAAGACTCTGACTGACAGTAAGTGCTTTTGGGGCGAAAATTTTGTGGGGGGTGTCTTCGTCAAGGTTGGACCCCCAAAAATGTGTTGTTGTTGTGTTTGTTTTTCTTTCTCTTTTTTCTTCGGCTTTCCTCTTGGTGTCACTTTACAACTACAACAAACAAAACAGGCCCATTCAAGAACAGACCAACAAAAACAACGAAGCTGCGACTTGGCCATCGCGGTGGCTTTCTCCGAAGCTGACAAGGCTGGCATGCCCCAGCCGTTCACTTCTTTAGAGTTGGGCACATCTAGGACATCCCTTGCCC